CCCACGTCCAGTGCAAGCCCCTTCATTTACCCGCACCAATTAGCGTGGTGAACTATGGTCAAGCAATCCCTCTGTGACTGGAATTGTGTGAAGGAGGTCGTCATCCAGCCTCGGGTAGTACGTATGGCAAGTTAAGTTAGCCACGGTATAAAGTTTTGACTTAGAACGTTCGTGACTGCAGGAATTCATATTCTTTGGATCTTTACGGTAAAGTCACGTAGATAGAAAAAATAGATGTAAATAAAAACTACGACGTTTCGAGCACAACACTAGCAATTGTCATCAGGAGGAAAAAGGGGGGAAGGCCACTGAAGGCAAATATTTTAAAGGTTTAAAAATGGGTGTGGCACAAGCGTCCTGGTATCAGAACGAAGTGGACGGGGCACAAGTACCCCGTGGTCAGAGAGCATCATTGTGAGCCTCGATAAGTTCTAAGAAAGACTCGGATGGTGACAAGAAAGGAACATCACAACCACCATTGGAACCTCATTTGCCAGTAAAAAATATGATAATTGTTTTTTTTTACTCTTCTATCTGGCAACAAAACTGACACCTTTTTTTCTTCTTGGTTCTTTCGTTAAAGTCACGTAGTAGGGAAGTAATACAATAATAAAAATAAAACATAATAAAACAATTCTCACGACGTCTTATCGACAGGCATGTTCTTCACCTGAGGACGGCTGCTTGCGTTGTGGCCAAAACGTCGTGATAATTGTTTTATTATGTTTTATTTTTATTATTTTATTACTTCCCTACTACGTGACTTTACCGAAAGAACCAAGAAGATGAATCCCTGCAGTCACGAAAGCTTTAAATCGAAATATGACACCTTTTTACAAGGAGTCATGTTTGCATAGACCACCATACCTGCAGCCGTAATGCAAACAAAAAACATAACTCTGATAATATATGCACTGTCCTTGAAGTTGATTGGTCTACACCCGAGACAGCTTTCCTTAGAGCCTAGTCTCACATGGGTTGGACCAGATGACGCCAAAAGGCGCAAAACTCAAAGACAATGCACCATCAGAGTATGAGAGCTCGGGGTAAGTATTTACACCATTGGAACCTCTGCCAGAAACAAATATGATAAGTTTTTTACCCTTCTATCTTGTAACAATTATCAGAGTTATGTTTTTTGTTTGCATTATGGCTGCAGGTATTGTGGTCTATGCAAACATGACTCCTTGTAAAAAAAGGTGTCAGTTTTGTTGCCAGATAGAAGGGTAAAAAACCAATTAACAACATCACAACCAGTTATGACTTTAAAGTGGTTGATGACGTTCTTCCAATGATTGCTGAGTTTGTACCCATCCTCTTGGTTGAAATGTTGTCTAATTGTGTCTAAATTGTGTCCAAATTGTGTCTATGTGTGTGTCTATATATATATAGACGGCTTCATGAACAAATCTTTGTTGATAGCCAGTAGGCTCGCAAGGGTTTTAAACCTTTAAAATAATTTTCCTTCAGTGGCCTTCCCCCCTTTTTCCTCCTGATGACGATCGCTTGTGTTGTGAAGGAAACGTCGTAGTTTTTATGTTTTATCTACATACATTTTTTTTATCGACATGACTTTACCGAAAGTTCCAAAGAACACGGTGTAAAGGTTTGCACGCTGCGCTTGTGATCCGGAGGTCGCCGGTTCGATTTCGATCTCCTGGCGCGGCACCTCCGATTGGCACGGTTGGCTACGTGCGTATGTACGTATATGTTGATGTTGTTTCATACCTACGTAGCCAACCACGCTGATCGGAGGTGCGTGAGCAGGACGGCAAACTAAATACACAAAAGCAGTTCGAAGGAAATGGGTTCTCAATCTAGATTTCAAAGTGCGCATAAGTTCAACAGACATACAAACAAACAGCGGGACAGGTTTCTTAGCTCCCCAAGCACCCCACCTCTGTCCACCGAGCAGCGTAACTGGGAGCACCACAGATAGTTGATCGGCAGGTTGCACGTGATGGGTAAAGTGTGGGTACAAAATTGAATGGCTAGGCCAGGGGTCGGCAACCTACGGCTCCGGAGCCGCATGCGGCTCTTTACAGGCTGCTTCTTGACGATATGTACGTATGTACAGTATGTACTCAGATGCATTGCGGCTCTTGAAATACTGAATTTTGTACCGAATTGGAAAGAAATGGCTCTTCTTGTTATTTTTGTTGCCGACCCCTGGGCTAGGCCAATAGAGAACGAGGAGGGAGCTGTCCAGAGTTCCCTCGATTGGAGATTCTGCGCCAACAGAGCCGTTTAAAGTCAGCTATGGCGAGTTGGGAAGAACCCGTGGCATCTACGTGGATAGAGTGTGGGACCAAGCAAGTGTGAAAGAAAACAAACAGCTATTTGCCTATAAAATAATTAGCCACGTCATAACTTCCGGGTACATGCTATGTTAAAGCCCCAAATTTTTGTTTTTATCAATAAGAAGGTTGACATTTGAGTGTGCACTGCTTTGTTGTTAGGTGGTTGAGATTTAATATTTTTACAGGAAAATCAGGACAAATGTCACTCGGACCCTTGACTTCACTTACTGTGATTGTCTCCCGCATTGGAGGTGGTGGGGCGCTCCTAAGGTGATTCAAACCAATCAAAGTTTGATTTGGGGTGCGTAATGTGCGCGAGCTAACTTTCGCAAGAACACCCTTTAAAGTTCCCGCCTTCAAGGGAACACATCGATTTGATTTCAAGTGATTTTGGCATTCTTACATCACGTGATTTTTTTTTTTTTTTACACAGGGCCCCGAGGCCAAAAATACCAAGCAGATTGCAACGAAACGGCGCTCATTAAAGTTGCAGCAGATAAGTGCCAACACGTGTCTTGAATTCATGAAGGTATATTTATAAGAATCTGGGAAAGGAGGCGATGGCATGGAATTTGATTGTCGAGTAGTACGAGTGAAGAATCGGAAAGAGAAGAGTTGTGAACTGCAGTGTGGAGGGTTAGTGGGTGGGTGGGTGAGTAAGTGAGTGGGTGAGTGACTGTGAATGGGTGGATGAGTGAGTGGGTGAGTGAGTGGGTGAGTGAGGTGGGTGACGTCAAGGTCCATATGGCCTGGCACAAGCGTCGTGGTGACGTCACCGCCACTTAGTGAATGGCGGTTGTTGTTGAGTGAGGTGGGTGAATGGGTGAATGGGTAGGTGAGTCAGTGAGTGGCTGGGTGAGCGAGTGAGTGAGTGTGTCATTGAGGTGAGTGAATGGGTGAGTGGGTATGTGAGTGAGTGAGTGCGGGAGTGAGAATGTGGGTGAATGGGTGAGTGGGTCAGTGAGTGGCTGGATGAATGAGTGAGTGAGTGGACGGCTGAGATAGAGTAGGTCCGTGATTGGGTGGGTGAGTGAGCAGGTGGGTGGATGGGTGAGTGAGTGCGTGCCTGGGTGAGTGAATGAGTGGGTGAGTGAGCGAGTGGGTGAGTGAGCAGGTGGGTGAATGAGTGAGTGAGTTGTTGAGTGGACGACTGAGTGAGAGTAGGTGCGTGATTGGGTGGGTGAGTAAGCAGGTGGGTGTATGGGTGAGTGAGTGAGTGCGTGGGCGAGTGACTGAGTGGGTGAGTTGTGACCTGCAGTTTCACGGTGGTGGTGGTGGTTGAATACAGTGTGGATCAGACGACACAGTCAGTCTGATAGACTGCGACCTCAACATGGGCCGAGGAATCAATGAGTGAAGTGCACTGAAATGAAAACCATTGCAGCGAGAGAAGAGTGACGAGAAGGCGACTGACCACTGGTGAACGAATGACGGCAGTGCATTCTGGATGGCCGATTCTGAACAAGCATTGAACCGTGGGGTTTTCCGTGACATAATTCCGACGATTCTGGAAGAATATCAGATTTCAGATTGCTTAAATGAAGATTGCTTGAATGGTTATTCAAGTGCACTTTGCTCAAGTAAAGTCTGTCATTATGTCTTCTCATTGTGACGATGTATACAACGCATAACGCACATGGCGCCATACTCTGGCTCGCCAGAGAAGGGCAGTGCAGCAAGTGGGATAATCTCCATCTGGATCAAGTGTTGCCTCCTTGCGCAATCATACTTATCGCTAATTGGCTGAATACATTTTATTTTTTAAATAACCGCAGGACCCGATTGAAAAATAGTCCTTGGACTCAGCATGGCTTTTCCTGGATAAATAAGTGATAATCACAGTACTATTATGATTATATTGCTGGATAAATAAGTGATAATCATAGTACTATTATGATTATATTGCTGGATAAATAATTGCACCTACAATTAGCACGGTTGGCTACGTACAGTATGAAATAAGTTCAATATACTTACATAACACATTAAGTAACTTCAATTTAAGCAATTTTGAGTACTGGGTGTTGAACTCAGTATTAAGAAGTCTGAAGCTCGCACCGGTGAACATCTTTACCCGTCAGAATTCTATCGATAAATCGAGCCGCATAAAATCATTAACAAGTTTGTAAAGTGCGTGGCATTTCCGGCCGAGTGGCAAGACTGTTAAAGATATCAACGTTTGCCACTAAATTTTAACTAAAGCCACGTGACCTATCTCAGGCTTCACGTTGTGTGCTGTGGTGGCGGAGATGTTAACTCCCTTGCCTGCTATGCAGGAGGTTATGTATTCGATCCCGGACCCTGACGCCTGAAAATTTGGAGTTTGCACGATTTTCTCTTGCCTTGGTGGTGACGTGGATTTTTTCTCCGGGTCCTTTCTGTTTTTCCCTCCGCGTTGACAATCAACCCACGTGTTCGAGTATTTGGCTACCGCGACACATTTCCAAGCGATGATAAGCCGCTTCCTTGAGCTAGCATGTGTGATGGCCAGGTGGCTCCTGAAAAAAAATGTGCCTCCGTAGCTCATTGGTGCCTTAGCTGATAAACTGCAAGTAAAAAAAAACGTGTTCGTAGTTTAGTTTTAGATGCAGCGACGATGAGAACAAACTCGCTCCTAGCCGCTGGGTGCTTCATTTCATTGCGAGACCGCGACAGATGACAACTCGGCCCAGGGGTGGAGGGTGCGGGATTGCCTCTCACCCGTCTCGCGTGACGAGTGGATGAACGCCTCGACACCGCTCTCGCCGTAGTTGCCCTCGGAGGCAAGCGTCGACACGTAGTTCCAGCCCAGCGCCTTCACCACGTCGACCATGGTCTGCGCTTGGTAGGAGTCGGGCGGCACGACGCGCGAGAAGTAGTCGTAGCGGTTGTTGTCGCTCAGCTCGGGCGCCGTCGACGCGTAGCTGATCTGCGGGATCTGCGCACGGGGGCGGGCGGGCAGAGGGCGGCGAGCGTTTGTGAACGACGAGCTTCGTAACTCATCGGATTTTATGTTCTCCAGGATAATTTAGGATGGGCGGCTAGGAAGACGTTCAACGCGCATACACAAAATACAGATTCTGATTCTGTTCAGTGGCCAAGGTCACACAGCGGGCAGGGCAAGCTGCTGGCATGCACTTTATATTTCGACTCGATTGGGGCGTTTGTAGATTACGGAACTCAGTTTGGGGTCACACAGCAGCAACAGAAGTCATCGCCACCTGCCTTACCTCCTAACTGGCTGGTGGCCATGTTGCCTTGTGCTGTGCAAGGGGTAGCTGACGCTGGGGCTGCCCTTTAAAATGTTTGAGGTGACGTGTAAAGTGCTCTGAGATATCCCGGTTCATTGGGTGCTATCTCAAAAACAATTCTTTATTATTGTAACTATTACACGTGTTTACCCAGGAAAGCATCACGGCCAGAGGCATGTGGAGTTGTGTTCACCGGCCACTAACAGAACTGCTCAACGCCAATTTTTGTTGGCATAATTTCTGCTGGAAAAAAAATGACACAATTTATTAGCGCACAAAAGTCATTCTCATAGCTAACAGTTAGAGGTGGATTTAAGGAGCTTTCATTTATTTGGGTGGCTTCACTGTAATGTGGTCTATTTTACAATGAACATGGGGCCCCAATTCATTGATGGGAAGGCACTATAAGATTATTTTCAGCTAAATCTCTGCCGTGTGTTTTACCGTATGATTTAATTGGACCTTGAAAAATGTAACGTGCAAACAAGGCTTTAATTATTTCCCACAAAAATGATCTTAGGCTCCTATGTTTTTCAAATATTGTTTTTTCTTTCTCCCCCCCCCCCACACCATCCCTCCTGCTTATGGGTTGCAATTAGCGAAATAAAATATTTTCAAAAGGCTACGGCGAATTGATTATCTGTCTGCAAGCTCGTTCGCAAGGAAATGTAAAAATATTAAACATTGATATGCAACTCATTATTTTCACACGAGTCACTCCCTCCGGGGCCAATTCTCATTCGGCCTATCGCGTGCCACGATGCCCCGGCCACCTCTGGATTCACCACGCTGCAGCCACCACCACCACCACCGGAACATTCGAGAAGAGAATTCCTCCCGGCGATTGCAAGCGGCCTACGCTTGACTGAACATGATCGTGGGCCCGGCACACATTCTCCTATGCACGGCAATGACCCCTCCAATTAGAAATGCGCGAGGTTATGATCCGCGGGGGTTACGATACTTTGGGAATCCGCCTGCCCTTTCGTATTGATAAATGTATGTAAATAGCGGGGATCGTAGTTCATTCGTAATTGGATACAATCACCACGGTTTACAACTGCCCTGGTTTTCCCAGGATGTCCTCTACTTCGAGGCAATTCTCCTGGGATCCTGGGAAATCTTTAATACATTACAGTTCCACTGTGTCAGTTGCGTAACGATGCTCCACTCCCGGACAATGCGCTCATACGTAGCTCTCCCCTCTTCTAGTATTGTGAAATATTAACTCTTCTTATATCCACGGAACGTCGGGAGGTGGTGACGCTACCGATCACGTGGTTTCAGATGGGAACATTAATATAATTCTGATCTGTCTCCGGTCCATGTTTTTTTTTTTACACAGTGAATATGATGCACTGTTTGAGTTCATTTCAATCCTGATGGATTGAAATTAAATTTGAATTAAAATGATTCACGGTTCTGTGTCAACCCACTGGCTGGGCGACGGCCTCCCTATGCAGCGTAGGGTCACGGCAGTTGTACGTTTGACCATACTTCACCACGCTGGTCAGTTCACGTCAATATAGGAGGCACCGCAGCCAGTTCGGATAACACTCGACTCTCCGCCTGTTAGCTACGGCCGAAAATCAAACTGGGCGTGTCGGATTCGTAGCACAGAAACGCGAAGCACTTGTGTCACGTAGCGTGGCTTTTTAATAATAAATAACGTTGAATGAAAACCAATTAGCCGGGACCTGTTTCACTAATCAGGGGATCAGGACCCACGTGACAAAACGCGTCTCGGCTAGAGGGCCTATGGCGAAGGATACTAGCAGAGTGGCAGCCAAGGGGACGGAATGCATCCTGTAGGACGTCCGGCTTGAGAGATGGAGCGATAGAATCCGTTCGCTTGCCGGCGCTGGGTGGATCGATAAAATGTCAGGATCACGAGAGGTAGTGGCTTTGGGGTGGCCTTCATCCAGCAGTGGATTGTCCATGGCTGATGATGATGACGACAGATCCGTGTACCAATCTCTGTTGGTGCTTCTCAGCAAGTTATATTCAAGTCGGGGCACAAAAGGCTTCTCATATTTATTTTACGAAATCACGTTGGGTTGTTTCATTGACTTTAACAAATGTTCAAACTGGCATCCATTAACATGAATGCATGCATGAAATTCTCTTTTGAAATTAATTTCGGAATTTGTTTAATGCAACGTGTGTCTAATTTTATTTCGTTGTCTCAATTAATTCAGCGCCCTTGATCGAGTTTTGTAAACGATGGTTTTGAGGTCACCCCACAGGAAGAATAAAAGTGGATAAATATTATGATAATGGATAAAATATTAACTGAAAGAATAAACAATTAAAATGTTTTAATGCCAGTGTTTTAAATAAATGAAATAGCCCTATTGTATCTTCACTTTTGGGCCACCCTCAATTGGGCGAACCAGTCCAAAAACTCTTGACTTTCCATGCAAATCTTCTTGGTTCTTTCGGTAAAGTCACGTAGAATGGAAATAATAAAATAATAAAAAGAAAACATAATAAAATATTTAATTAATAAAATAATAAAAATAAAACATAATAAAATATTTTATTATGTTTTATTTTTATTACTTATTATTTCCATTCTACCGAAAGAACCAAGAAGATGAATCCCTGCAGTCACGAAAGCTTTAAATCGAAATTTCCACGCAAAGTGGTACTTATTTTATCAAGCATGAGGCTGGTAATGGGCTGAGTTGACCTCTGATTATAAGTCGAGCACCCTTCCACAGCAAAAACAGTAATAATCGAACTGGCGTAAACAGACTGAACAAAGCTTGGCTCAGAATGTGACCTGATCAACACCAGATTATGTTCCGATTGCCAAATCAGATACAAAAAAAACAGATTCTGAGAACAAAGCACGGTCGTGTTGAGTTTTAAATTGGCTGCAGATGTCACTGACTCTGTCCTTGATTAGACTTATAGTATCTGTGACTGTTGCATAGAGCACGACAATTGAGAATAGCTGCCAAGAGTCACCGATCCGTTCGCGATTCAATCCTCTTCAACTGTCGTTGAGCAGCACCGCCGGTGGGCCAACCAGCGGGTGCAAAGGCCAGCAGCACAGCACCAAAACATCGCGCGCGAACTCCGGTCATAATCGCAGCAGCGGCAGCTTTTGGCTCAACCATCGAACAAAGACACGGTGGTCACCGCATCGCGCGGGTGCTTTGAGATGCGCTTCTGCGGCCGTCTGGAACGCTCTTCCTTCCGACATTAGGAAGCCACTGGGAGCTGTGTACTTTTAAATCGAGGTTCAAAATCAATTATCTTTGAGAACTCCTTTTTTTGTTTAGTTTATTGTCCATAGCCACGCGCCTCAGGTAGGAGGCTACGTACGATGCGAAGAGAAATTCAACATGCATACGGACCGTGCGACCTGAATTCGATTCTCGCCCATGGCTGACATCGCTGGGGAATGATACATAACATTTGTTACCACCCCCCCTCCCCTGTCCCACCTTTCACTAACCCGCAACTGACGTGGATGGTGAAGTATGGTCAAACAACCGCCGTGACCATCGCGGGATGTGGGTGGCCGTTCTCCAGCAGTGGATGGACAATGGGCTGGAGATCGGAATGTATCAAATTGACGTTGACACTGGGAACACAATTCGACTGGGCGCAATGGTTAGCACACTGGGATTCAATCTCGAGGTCAACAGTTAGATTCAATACTCTTAGTTCTTTTGGTAAAGTCACGTAGGTAAAAAATGAAATTAAAATCAATAAAAATAAAATAAAAATTAAAAAATCACGACGTTTCGGAGGCAACACAAGTCTCCGTCATCAGGTGGGACCGTCACAGCCAGATTTACCTACGTGACTTTACCGAAAGAACTAAGAGTATGAATCCTTGCAGTCACGAAAGCTTCAAATCTGAAGTTAGATTCAATCTCCCGGCACGGATGTTGAAACAATGGAACCAGTTTCTTAAATACCCCCCCACCCACCCCGACCCATCACGACCGCTTCTGTCCACCAACCATTGTAAACGGGTTAGTCGATCGGCAGGTCACATGTGGCGGGATGAAGTGTATGTGCTCCCCACCGCTTCCAAGGCATCTTGGCCAGGGTTGGAAGAGAAGGCCAAAACAAGTATAACCCGTAAAAACAAAGTTTTTCACTATAAATCCTTTATATGCGTGGCGGCTAGAGTCCTCTCGTCCTCTGGATTGAGATGGCTGCCACCTATGGATCAGATGATTGCATTGCACCATTAAGCAATTTGGTAAAATTTTTGAATTTTTTTTTCACGAACATTAATTGTGTCGCACAACGAGTCTGTGTGGAAAATGTCAGCTCGATTGGATCACGAGAAGTGTGTTAAAAACGACCGAAAGATTTGCACGGTCGTAAGCAAGCAAGCAAGCACGCAAGCACGCGAACTTAATATAAAGGATTGAAAAAAAGAACGCGTGGTGAGAAGTTCCCTAAGAGCACCCTCGAGTGTGGAGGCTCTTCCAGCTGGCGGTGTTCGTGAGCGAGAAATTGCAGGGCTGCGCTTTAACAATTATTTTATTTTAACCTTCTGCACACTATCCATCGTCGTCACTGGTCATTTCTCCGATGGGTGTCCATGAGCAACCGGTCGCAGAGTGAATTGAAAAACAAAAATCCCTGCACCCGCTAGAATTTGGAAGGCACTTCAAAAATAAACTCTGCCCTGCACTTTGCTGACCCGATACTGGAG